ATATATATATATATATATATATATATATATATATATATATATATATAGATATAGATATTGATATATATATTGCACATTGATGCCCTCATCTGACCTGAAGACAGCGTGCCAAATGGTTTATAGGTTGTGTGTGTGACAGTAAGTGTTTATTTGTTTGTGTGTGTGTGTGTGTGTGTACATTGCGTGAAAATCCCAGCTGGGTCAAAGCTTCCACATGACGAGTTAATCATCAGTGAGTGCATAACTGCAGGGAGACGGAGGCTGTCACGAAACAACATCATCAAAGACAAATAGAGTTGTTTAAACACAAATAGTGACCATGCCAGGAGATTATCCATGTTGCTCTTTTTATAGTCAGAATGCATGAACACACACACACACACACACACACACACACACACACACACTGCATCAAGCTCGCCTCGGGAGGAGCAGTCAGAACAGTGCAGCAGATGTCACAGCATGATACTCATATATATTACTAATGCAGACAGAACCACCCAGCAGATCAAATATAGTATAATCAGCCCTCTAAGGAAAATGTCATTGTAATGAACTGCTGTCCCAGTTAAGGCGCTTTAAAAAAGAGCACATGTATATGCAACAATACATTCTGAAATGCCAAATGTTTTTGAGGGATTATTTTCTGACTTCCCTTTCTTCCTGCATCTTTCTGTGAGTGCTAGGTGATTGACAGCGAGCAGAGCATGACGCAGCGCTGATATGAAAACACTCCTGCTCGAGGAGTTACTGATAAAGCGGAAGCTCTGGCCAAAACCAAATTGCAGCTTCATGTTTACTGTGATGGATTATCTCACTCTGTGGACGCCATTTTCATACGGTGCAACAGAGAAAGGCATCAAATGAAGGGAGGAAAGTGGGCCTTTATATCTTCAACCCTCCAGAGTCCAACGGGAATAATGTGACGAACGAAGGACGACATTTGCATAACACATTGGTTAGTCCTCATACTCGGAGCCTTTTGACTTGTTCTGTTCGTATTGTACCTATAATCACAGGTGGACTGGAGCTAAGTAATATTACTTTCTTCGGTACTGCACTGAAAAGACAATTTTGAGGTAACATTGGACTTTTTACTCCACTACATTTAGCAGTAATAATTACCTTTCACATTAAGATTTATTCATAAAACACAATACTATCAGTTTACAAACTATGCAGTATATAAAGCTGTTCAAGTCAGCTCTACCCTGACATTAAAGTCCTGCTTACATACATGTGAGTGGATATGATAACGCTATATAACAATGAAGAAAGGTGCCTTTGTGCATAATGCATACTTTCACCTTTTAATTTACTTCCAGCGCATTTAGTTGCCACTTGCCATTACTAATGTACCTTTACTCAAGTATTCTAAGATTATTAATGCAGGACTTGCACTTAGTATTTCTTTCATTGTGGGGTATTGCTACTTTTATTGTGCAAAGTATAAAATGAGTTACTTCTTCCACCACTGCTTATAATTCTTATAATGCTAAATAGCTATACTCAATACAATAGCAATGCTGTTTCAGCAGGAACTTTATAACATCTTACTGGACCAACTCCACATTTGCAGTCACCTTGAACAGAGTCCTTCACTGTGTTGTACGGCAAGGAGCCATTATGTTAAAATGCCCATCGCTGTTGCCTTAATAGGACTGTCCGTGTTCCGGCTCTGATGAGAGACTTTCCTCTGGGTAAGAAGATATCATGACCTCTATCCCTGAACAACCCCCCCCCCCCGACTCTGCTGCCTCCGTCCATGTTATTGTTCCTCTCATGGTGGAGCACAGTGGAGATGAGAGAGGTAAACTCTGCCCCGTCAGGGTGACCATGATAATTATGTCAGAGAAACACTGCCTCAGACTATGCCTCAGAGCACAGTAAAATATACATTAAGTATTTTACTAAACACTGAATCAACAGCAGAAATTATATTATTTTGGAGTGGAGACTTGTGGCGAACTCTTCATGCCAATTTAAAAAACAACAATATGATTACATTTCAGTCATTTAGTTCAGATTCTGTCACATACACCATAGGCACAGCTCAAGTGACTTGCTCAAGGACACGTCGCCATGCGACGAGCCGGAGCCGGGGATCGAACCGCCGAACCTCTGATTGAAGGACGGCCCTGCTCTCCACTTAGCCACAATCGCATGATATCAATCTGTGTCTGCTGAGGAACTCACGTTGTACTGTATGGAAGAATTATTATTATTAAGTTATTATTAAATAATATTCCCAGATTTGTTTTAGGTTTTATTTTGTTGTGTCTTTTTGCATTAACGGACACAAACTAACTTTGCATCATTATCATATTATTCCAATCATACGACTTTATTGTGTAGTATTGACGCTGAGAGGGCAACAGTTTCTAACTTAAAGAGAGGGAGAGAGCTTCTTATATACAGTCTGTGGGAGAGAGTGAGACTTTTAAAAAGTGGTAAGATGAGGGTGAGAGCAGTAGTTGGGAGAAATGGTGTGGGCATACATATCAAGGACAGAAATATGTTCGCAAAAGAATGCAAAAAACACCAACAACAACACACAAACAGTAAAGCGATAAGCACCATGTGGAGTGGAGACAAGATAATGAATGCTTGCATTGTCTTCTGCTGCCACAAAACATGTTTCTAATCTAATTTAAGGACTTTATATTCACACAGTTGTGTTTATCAAATTAAAAATAAAGGCACAATATGACACAACCAAACATTAGACACAACAAACATATGAAGTCTACAACTACATACAGCTTTAAACTGTATGACGGGGTCTTCATCAGCAGTTGGAGTCATGTGAGACATGATTAAAAGCCCCTAAGAACTAAATAGGCTACTTGACTCTGTATGTATATGTAGGTCATTAATCTTTATGTCTCTATTGATACTCTATCATCTTCTCCTTCATTTAGAGAATCAGAGAGGGAATGTGATGCTTTGGCAACATTGTTTTATTTAGTTTTTACTTTCATAGCAATAAAGCGACTGTGAATGGAATTGAAGTGAACTGAATGATCCACAACTCAGGCTGGAAAAAGACCCAAGTAGGGTTAAAGTGTCAGAGAGCTGAGGGGGTGACAGATGCTAAGCTGTGTGTGCGCGTGTGGGTGTGTGTGTGTGTGTGTGTGTGTGACGTGTAAGAGCAGGATGAGGCTTGTTTACAGCAGAGCAGTACAGCTGTGACAGCCTTGCACTGCTCTCCAGCTGGATGCCTTACAGACACTTAATGTGACGCATCAGTCACTTTACATCACTTAATCATTAACTTCAAAACAGCAGAAAGAAAATCCACCATGCACCCATCCAAGAGCTCCAACAAGGCTAAGTAGTCTCTTTCCTGCTGTAAGTGAAGATATTCTTTATGTTACTTTAACTGGTTCACATTTATTTCCTTTTGTTCATCCGCTAGAACATAATTGTGAGGTAAATATACATATCCTGTACATTGAATAAATAAAAATAGTGTCCAGAATACATTTGAAATGTATACATTTCCTAAACGATGTCAAAGCAGTTTAAATTAATTTAGAAAACAGAATATCTAATAAGTAATCCATAACCAAACTAAGCTACGTTCATTCCAACATTTAATTATTTTAAGCAGCTTGTCCTAGATGTGCAAATTCATGGTTTTCCTCATCAAATGTACCCTAACCCTAGAGAGGACATCCCATTATCTTGTGACCATGTTATGAACAATAGTGCATGTGTGCTGCTCCTCCTGCCTGCTGGTTGCTGCCTATAAATAGGCTCCACGGTGGCTCTGCACACCCAGGTGGAGAGAAGAGAGTGATTATTAAAAACACAGGCAGCTCTGTGGGGACTAACCGGCTCTCCAGTCCTCGCTCTCGCTCTCCATCTGTCTCTAGCTCTTACACAAGATCCAGGTCTTAATCAATACTGCCGGTACACCTCGATGCTGGGTGAGTGTCAGAAGAAAACCGCTACAGGCAATTCCCATCACGGGCGATATGTAGGAGAGCTGTGAACGTGGTGTGTAGAGGTAGAGCTTCTTTTTTACAAAGGGTATAAACAAGGTCACGCTGGGATGACATGTGCGAAAATGATGGACAGTTCAAGATAAAAGCTTCACCAGAATGTCACAAAAAGGTTTATTTCAGTTATTATTCAGAGGGTTTGAAATCAATTCCCAGCCCCAGGAGGAACCATCACGTTTTCCAGCAGAAGTAAAAACATCAAAATCAGGATCTTGTAAGGTTTCCACACAGCAGCAGCAGCAGCAAAATAAGTTGGTATTTTCCAGCTACCTGGAGACTCAGAGTGTGAACACATAGTGAACCTTTCTGAGTCCAGCACATAAGATATAACAAAGTGTAATAACCCAAAAATGTACTATCATTTCAAAAGCTGTGGTTTGGAAATAAAACTAAACCTGTGTGTCACTGTGAGCTAAAGCTAAATGTTGCTTCTGCTTCTGCATGTGTGTGTGTTGTGTGTGTGTGTGTGTGTGTGTGTGTGTGTGTGTGTGTACACGCATGCGCCTTTGCCGGTGTATCTCAGTGCCCTTGGCAGTGAGGCCGAGTAGTGAAACTAATTACAAGCTCAAAGAATCCTAAATTGAATTCTAAATTAGAAAGCGAACACCTCCCATCGGTGGATGGTGTAGGAGTGGACTCCCAGTCAATAATTTAGCTGGAGGAGACGGATTTGGCACTGAGAGAAGTGAGTCTCACTTTGGGAAAAGATCGGCATGATGAGAGAAGAAGAGGAACTTTCAAAATGTCTCCCGAGTTTAAAATCAAAGGATCGGATTCATAGATCAGAGTTCTCATTTGAAACAAGATTTTTTTTATTATTATTATTATTATTATGAAGAAACAGTTCACACTGATGTGAAAATTAGGTAAATCTTCACCACGTCAGCTGATATTTTGTTCGTACAGCGAACCAACCCACACTGAGTGAGCACCTGTAGCTTAATCTCTAAGGAAATCATATGTTTATAATCAGCTTCATATCTAGAGAAAGCATAACATGTTTATCTTGGTATCTTATCAGAGCATTATCTTGAGTGTTTTGTCGTCAAATATTAGGACACGGTGTAACTGAAAGCTCAGTAGTGACTTCCACATGTCTGGTAATTTTCTTATTGGCGATATGTAAAGAATAAATCAACCCAAACATTGTCAGGGAGGAAATTATGGAAGATTCTGGTGCACATTTTTGGTTATGTTGCATGAGCTGTTTAGAAGAACTCGATGGATATTTTAAAGCTTTTCTTTAAACTGTAAAAAGCATAGTTTTGATTATTTAAATTGTTTAGGAGATGGAACAAGAAAAGGACATCTTTTCTGAGATTTTGCGTACTTTTATTGTTTTGTTTTTTTAAATCACAGAAACTCGCAGTAAAATGCTTAAATGTGCAATAATTTAGATTCTTTTGACTATTGGAAAGACATATTTAAGACAATTATACTGCAAACATCACACTGGATAATTAATAGCACTGCTTTACAAATACTCAGAGTGCATGAATTCAGAGAAAATAGTTTCAAATACAACAATACTTTATTGTTATTCTGTGTGACCCACATCATGTTCATGTTAGTTTATAAGTTGTTTATATGAACATTGAATCGAATGATTCTGTGTAATGTGAAAGTGGTCGCTTGTAGTGGCAAACCAACAGGGAATTATCTCTAAACTCTTAAGCTCTAACTTTTTAGCCTCTTTTAGCTCATTGTTTTGGTTTTAAAGCAGATTTAATTTAAGCTCGAGTGTCATTAACATCCACAGGAAGCTGTAAACGCACAAAGCGACAAGCTCCTGAACACAGTGGAGCATCAGACCTGATGCTACATG